CGGGAGGAGGGGCCGGGCACCCCGGGAGGAGGGCCGGGAACAGCGGGAGGAGGGCCGGGCACCCCGGGAGGAGGGCCGGGAACCGCGGGAGGAGGGGCCTAGGAACCGCGGGAGGAGGGCCTGGAGCCCGGGAGAGGGGCCGGGTCTCCCGGGCGGGCTGGGGAAGGCCCGGCCGCGGAGCCGGTGCCCGACGCTCCCGGCCCCACCCGGCCTCCCCTCGCCTTTCCCGCCCTCCGGGAGCAGGTGGACAGGAGGCTGCCCATCCCGCAGGCCTGTCCCCACAGGACCGTCCCCGCACTGCGGGTCCGCTGGGTGCCGCCCCGGGGGCCTCGATGAACCCCGCTGGCTTCGGCCCCAGAGGCGCCGTGCGGCGGTCAGCGTCCCGGGCCCCGCGGGGACCCCGCAGTGCCCGCGCGGCCAGGGCCGCCCTCCAGGGGAGCCCCTTTTGGGGGTCTACTGAGTTGGAACATGTGTCGGGGAGGCCGCGCGGGGACCGGGGACGCCCCCCGCCTCCCCGCAGCTCTGGGGCCGAGGACCCCCGCACCATCCCCAAAACCGGACCAGCCCGGCAGGCCTCGCGCAGGCGCAGTACGCTCCAAGCGCGAGACCCACTTCCAGGGCCACGGATGCTCCACCCCCTCTCACGTCACTTTATGTCCCCGCCCCACTTTCCCAGAAGCACCGCCTCCCCAACGGGGAGGGGCGCGCGCACTCCCCTGAGGTAGTCCGGCCTGAAGGGGGCGGGACCCTGAATAACTTAGCCTTCGATTGGTGCAGCCTTCGCAAGAGGTGCCCCATGATTGGTCGACTCTTGCTCCTCTCCCCAGCCTTTCCTGAGTACTTCCGCTTCCGGTTCGGACGGACGCCACGGCAGTAAAGATGATCGGGGACATCCTGCTGTTCGGGTAATTAGTGGGGGGACCGGAGAGTGGGAACGTAGAGCCCTATGGGCTGGGAGGCGTCTGGTAAACGCGTTCTCCTCCCGCAGGACTCTGCTGATGAATGCGGGGGCCGTGCTGAACTTTAAACTGTGAGTAGGCCGCGTTGGGTTGCGGCTCCACCAAGGAGCGCTCAGCCCGCCCCCTCC